AATATTTGGAAATAAAAAACTATTACAAACTCAGACATACACTTTAGAGGCCAGATTCAGATAGGGCAATTTTTTTTTTATTTTTTTTTTTTTGTGGCCTGCTCAAGCAAGTGAGAACAGGTGGGCAAGTGCTGAAAAATTTGACATCACTATCTATGAATATTACAAGATTCAACCACTTTTGCAGCATCCAGATGTTGGTGAAGATCACTGCTACAAATGTTACACACAATCATTTATCTAAAGAATGACAAAATGTAATCATGGAAATTACTACTAAGTTGGGAGAGAGGAACTTTTGAAGCATAACAAACATGGTACCCAGACTCAACACAATTTTAGGAGTAGCTCCACTGGACTAAATGGCACTTCTGCATAAGATCCTAGTTAACATGAGCAAAGATGGCAGAATATCTACTCAGTTTCCACAGGATCTAGGAGAAAGAATAYTTCTTGCAGCAAGTATCTGTGTATTCATGAATGTATCATGTGATGGATTCTGTAGCACATTATTTATGCTCTRCAGAATGATTAAATGACTATCAGTTGTTTCACCTCCTAATTCCATTATCTAGTTACTGCTGGGTTCAGTACAGGATTCCAGAGTGAGAACTGACCTCTTATGCAACTCATCCAGCTCATTAAGTAGTTGCTTGTTTGCTGAAGTAGGACGTTATTGTCACCTTCGTATGTGCAGTTTGGGTCATTGTCATTACGAATTTCGCCCAGACGATTCACTTAAAAAGAACAAGTGCACATTTTGAGACATTTCAATATATTAATGAACGGTAAGAGAATAATTATACTATGATAAAAACATAAGACATCTAAGTAAGTTCCTGTATGCATAGCTATTCTTACCAAAAGATAAACTTGCAAATTCACTGCTTGACTTGATAAAATGAATACAGTGGGAAGATTTCCTTAAAGTGTGGATCTATTTTAGAAGGCAAATTTCACCTAGAAAATCTGCATTTTTATTTCTGGAATTGAAATTGAATCACACATACAGTCTTATTCTGCCCAAATGTTGGTGCAGATACTTCATGGGTTTAGTGACAAGTATAAAATAAATCTGTAAAAAAAAGATGAAGAAAAAATTCTTTCCGAAAGTATCCCCAAAATCTAGATGCTGTGTTCTCCCCTTCACCTCCCCCCAAAAAATGRGGTAGATAAAAATATAAGGATTCTCTTTTTGAGCAGTTTATAAAGTAAGTCTGCATCTTACTGGCAAGGTAACCATGTCCTCCACAAGCTTCTCGGCACTCCTGGGAGGCCTGCTGAGCAGTCCAAGAAGACAGTGGTTTGCTGGCGGCAGACAAGGCGTGAATCTCACGTCCCAAATCAGCCTTTGTGGAAAAAACATTCTAGTCACTACTAAGTGTTACACAAAGTAAGTTTGGGAGCATGCAAAGAAGAATGTTGCTGCTTTACACAAAGCTCTATTACATATTGAGGATTTAAATCGACTTAATTTAACTCAACTTAGCTTCGTGCACTCTTTAATAAAGAAGAAAAAAGGTTACACATGTGCAACATCAATATTAATATGAGTACCTTTCTGAGTATACTCTTTATCCATTAGTTTGCTTTTCTCACATTTCTGTGACACTGCTGCACAATTCAACAATTTCACGTTTATTTCAAGTGTATTGTAATAAGAGCTCAGTTAGTAGGAAATGCATAAAAATCTCACCTGCCTCTGACTCCTTTGCTTTGTCAGTAAGCCTATATAAAATTCTGTAAAGTTCTCAAACAGGGATTTGGAAAAATAATCTAACRCATATATAGCAGCCAGATAAGGAAGAAGGCGCCATTGCTGGAATGAAAAATAAATAAATTTATTTGCAAATTGATATACAATCTTATGTGAGCGAGACTATAAATAACTTTTAAATTTCAGAAAAATTATTTTAGTTATTATTTTCAGTAACTATCTTACAATTTTGAACCAGCTCATTCCCTTTTCATTTGTCCAAATAGAGAATCTCTAGTTTATCTTAATGGTAACTTCCTTTTAAACCTGCGCAAATGTTCACTGAAGCTTTCTGGGCAGAGAGCAGAAGAACAGATTTGTACTCTGTGTTTCTGCAATGCCTGGCATGACACGAGTCAATCTTGATTCATGTGGTACTTTTGTACCAATAGAACAGTGAGTGTAATTTTCAATTTGTTTTTTCATTGCTTCAGGTACATTACTTGTTGCATCCTGTTAAAAGAACAGGGTTGTGGAGTGGAGGAAAAAAAAAAATCATCTTTGTTGCTCCAAGTAGGTCAGGTGGAAGCCCATAAAAGAAAAGGGAAACTGCCTGAGAGGAAGCTTTTGTGCTGGAGCAAGTAGGGAACGACAGGTTCAGCAAGAAGAGGCTACAACACAAGCAGAAATCAAAAGATTCCTAAAAATAGCGGGAAGCAAATCCAATCTAACTGCATAAGGGGTGGAAGAAAGGCAGCTAGAGTTACTGAAACTCATGAAGTTTTTGAAAGTTGCAGTGTTAAGGGTAAGCCATGAAAAAGCATCTATTTTGCACACACAAACTGTGCAAGTTWATTTTCAACACTTCTTATATATTAACCATGTCATTCAGTACATCTGAGGTTTTGCTATTTTCGAACTTTATCACATATACTCTTTTTCTGCTTTTTCAGATCAGAAGCCCTTTTGGTGTTTTTTATCTGCTTAATCTATGAATAAAAATAATTTCTCTGAAACTTAATGTTATTTTGCAACATTATCACAGTATCCCTCCAATTTCTACATTTTTAAAGAACAAAGACTAAAAAATGGAAAATGAGCATAGAAACAAAAGAAGCAATTATGTCTTTTTAAAAAACGTTACCTTCTATATCTGCAGTAACTTCATGTGCACACTATAAGACAGTTTTTCTCTGAAAAGATTATTGCTTTAAAAGATAAACATTTCCAGGTACTTCAGAGCAATAATAGTGTTTTAGGTTTCGCTATTCCAAGAACTTATTTCAAAAGCCAGATCATGCCAGAAGTAGCAGCAAGGAGGCCTGGAGTTAGAATGAACAGCTGCAGCTGCACAGGATCTGTAATTCAGATGTGCTTCTGTACTAACTTCAGTGACATGATTTTTTCTACAGTAGCTTTGAACCTTACTCTGTTTTAATTGTACAACAGCCTGTAGATTAGAAATCCCCACTTTTTACCTGTGTTTGGTATTCAAGAACAGGTATTTCTTCATCATCAGTTGGTCCAAACTGACGGCGAGTTGCTGAGAAGCGAAYGGCTATAGACAAGGCGAGCTTCAAATTGGTCACGGACATGGCTGTGATCTGAACTCTGCCAGTGGACAAGGACCCAAGTGAAGCACTGAAACGATCTTTCACATCCTGAAGGAGTGAAAGGCACAGAAAGAATAGTGAGGTTAACATTTCATTTACCTGTCCTGTAAAGATTCAACTCTGACAGCATGATCAAAACTCCGGAACTTGGCCAATATTATTTCTTTAGATATTCAGTTAAGATATCCAGGTAGGATCCAGAGAAACTACTCTGCATCAGCAGGGCAGTTTGAATAGCAAGAAATACGTAAAATCAAAAAGGTAAGTTGTGACATCTCTGAAAGGCAATTAAAAAGCCAGCGGTTTTTATTATGGAAYCATTCAAACAAAAGGGAAAACACTGTGATTGATCAGTTGCCTCCTCAGGAGCTTACAGAATTTCTGTCAAGATCCTGATGCTATTTAAAAGACAAATATTTGCATCTGAGCTAATAACTGTAGACTCTCTGTAGTAAGCAGGGAAAACAGGCATGGATAACTTTGAATACTCATGTAAGCATGAGATGTGTAGATTATTATCTATAGTATAATAATATCTATAGTATATCATAGTCTAATRTCAATAGCTTTATTTAAGTCAAGACACTTTGCAACCTACAAGGCCTCTGTAATCTAGCTGTATCTTTCTATACTTAGTAAACTATATTAATGAAATACAAATCTTAATTCCTACCTTGTAAGAGCTTGAGTATTTCCCTTCAGGTGTGACATCTCCAGCTACATTCAGGATGTTTTCTTTAGGTATCCTGACATGATGGAACACGGCAAACCTTTTCAAACAAATATACAAGCAATGTTAAGTTTATCTTGACACAGTTTTAAGTGTCTACATTACAGGAAAAAAAAAGATCAAACAAAATAAAATTGCACTTGGAGTCAGATGTATCAGTGAACCACTAAACCACGTAGGTGATTTCAGAACATGTGTCGGAGAATAAAAACCTTCAGATACAGGCCAGTAGAGGAAATACAAGCAGYAAAGTGTTTTCCTCTCACTTTTAACTTCAGTTTGTTACTCAAAAATAAGCATAGTGATTAAAAAACAACACAAAGCCCCTATTTACTTTAGGGGACCATTTCGACAGCTTCATCTGTGAAGAAACAAAATATTAACGGCAGGAAGATCAATGTATTCTCTTTGAGGGGAAAGACAGTTTTCTGGACACATGATAAAATCAAATAGATTCAGACAMTCACCCACAGCCCAGAAATGTCAACTGAATGCTCAGACTTTATGAGCCTAGGGAGTTTTTTTAACTTGATGTGTCAGTTATCTAAAAGTTCAGAGAGAAGAACTACTAAAACCTCCTTTTCCTGCTGAGTTACTATGATTACAAATAATTCACTACCACAAATAACTCTGCTGAACCAAATGGCCCCGTTGCACTAAGTCTTGCTCAGTCCAGTGTGGAGCCTGTAGATGTAAACGCTTTGGGATCAGACATGTCACATTTTTTTATAATTCTGAAATATAGATCTRTGAGGCTCTTTCATTGTACCATAATACAGAAAAGAACATAGCTGAATTAGTGCACTGACAGGGAACTGAAGGGAGTATTTTCCTTTGCTTAGACTCAAACTAGAACTTCTGTTCCCTATAATGTGCAATCTTAAAAAGGAATGAACCAGACGATCTCTTCTAAATTGTGACATGCTAGCAGTAATAACGAAGGAACCTGTTATAATAGGAAAAAAGTCTTGAGTATTCATACTCTTCAGGAAGAAAGTGTATAAACTGTTTCACCCAACTGGGCAATATAACTTGGCACAACACCAGTAATATCAGCTCTGCTCATGAATATCTCAGTATCTAATAGCATTTGAAAGCTGCATTTGTAATCAAAGCAAATTCCTTTTGTCTGCCAATACTGGCTGATCTATTTAATAATGCTCATGAGAGCCAGGTCTTTCACATTAATAAATTACATAAGGGTTGCATTGCTACATGTGCTTTAAAATTATGAGTTGTTTCCAAGGAAACATATCTGCATACCAAATTTATTCAGCCTCAGAGATACAGAGTATTTTCAGCCTTAGCCACAGAGAAAACCATGCTATCCTAAGCAGTAACCAGCTGCTTCCTAGCCTTATTCATGCTAAGAAGTGCTTTAGTGAGCATCAGTTTCAGTGAGGCAACACTGCTCGGTGGTAGAAGTAAATTCAGATTTTCCAAAAATCTGATGACCATCATTATTAATGTTTTTTTTCAAGTTATCTACAATAAAAAAACTTAAAAAATTACAAAATTTAAAAAACACTTCAATAAAGATCTTCTGGTTAAAGGCACTTTCCCTGCTCCCTAGATCTCAAATAACACCCATCACAACTAAAAATACACATCAAAACCAATATTATTAAACAATAGTATGCACATTGGATACACCTCAGGATTTTTTATTTTTACTAATTAATCACAAGAGAGTGAGTGTTTAGAGCTCTGTTTTGCTAGATAAATTACACTGAGACAGTTTGGGGTAGTTTAGATTTTTTTCTTTTATATTGTCCTTTACAGATGCATCATTTCTTCCTTTTCCTGTGAGGTGCCATCAAAACAAATTCATATAAAAATTGTACAAACTAAGGAGCAAAAAAGTGAGACAGAATTCGTAATCAGAAATCCCTCAAAAGTATTCCCAAGAGTAAAGAAGTAAGATACACTGTCTACATGCACCAGATAAAAATAAAAGCAGAAACTTACAGAACTGGGATTTAGATGATTTTGTGATATGATTGCCAACTTCTGTTAGGTTTTTACTCCAAGAACTTTTATGCTATTTGAAATCTTACTTTGTAATCATTAGACATACTGGCCAATTTGAACTTGATATTGGAACATATTAAAATAAATAATAAGGTTTAATGAAGTCAAATATCACGTTTCTAAAGTTTATTAACATAGTGAACAGACATGGACCACATCTGTCAACGCATTTAGGAGAAAATACCTTTAAAGAAATGAAGACAAGTAGAAATATCTCAAAATAATGGAACTGTGCAGACTATCATGGGGATATCGTGTACCAGCAAGTCTGGAAAATAGCTAAATTGCACGTGGTGATGACATGACCATGGGTTTGAAAACTCCACTGCCTCTTCTACATAGCAATTAGGGCAACTGAGATAAAAATCTTTCTGTATTTGGATAAACAGCTGTCACTTTAACTTCATACCACATGATTCTACTGTGCTGGCCTCCAGCTGTGTGATTTGGGTCATGATAAATTGATAGGACCATAAAYTTTAAGGTCAGAAAGAATTACCAGACCATCTAATCTGACATTCGKTAGGAAATGGTAAGTACTCCGCAGTTGGGTTTGTAAAGCAAACTGCCCCAAATCATTCTGTCTTGATCTGCAAATTGTACTTGGTCAGGAGACCCAGCACTTAACTGCTGACTTTGGTAAAAAGCATAGTTAAAAACGGACAAGAAAACAACATGCCTTCATTTTGGCTGTGGTTCCACAATGTTTTCTCTTTCTATAAATATGAATTCTCTGCTCTTTAAATTTCTGCCACCTACAAGCCTTCATCAGTCTAGTGTGCATGTATACATGAATAGATGTGCATCCACATGAATACATGTACATCCCTATCTGATGTTGGACATAGTCACACAGAATAACCTCAACAACCTAGCAACAAGCACATGATACTCTACTTTTAGCAATGCCTAGTACATCATATTTTACATATCATATACAAAAGAAACAAGCATATTTATAACATCTATCAAATAGGTAAAAAAAATGTGTTATACACATTTCTCTCGAGATTAGGTGAGCAGAGCATAGCCGTATTCCAAAAGTAGCATTCTTGTTAGGGTTCTTTGGCCAGCAGTTTAGGGAACATTTCAAGCAAGGTTAATCTTATTGACTTTAAATCATGCAATAATAATTAATCTGGTGTGCAGTAATGTTGATAAAAAAAGGAGCAGCTGGAAAAGCTACAGGCTCCTTTTGCCARTGCTAAATTAATAGGCTGTTACCTATGGCACCAAAAGCTCAAGCACGCTTTGGTGAACTGCAAACCCACCAAAATGCCTTTCCTGCCAGCTTCTGCTATCGACTATGTTAGAGATGGTGCAGTGACAGTTCCTTTAATTCTCCTAGCCAGAAAGAGAAAGCAGGTGAATGGTATTGGAAGACTGGGAATCAAATGATCTCACGGCTGTTTATGGGATACAATAGACCTYGGGAAGAATAATGTTTAAGAAGTCCGCTGAAAATATTATAGAAGAAAATAGCCACATATTCCAGATGATTGAAAAGTTAAGAGTTGAGAAGAGTTACAGAGAAGCTGGGGAAAAAAAAGAAAGAAAAAAACCTATGCAAGGCAGTAATTTAGGCCTAATTTCTATAGGCAAGGCACTAAAGTAAGAATTTTGCTCTGTAACAGTAATATTCAAAAGCTGTGATAAAACAGGGTACTGTTTTACAGGTCCCCTAATTCTATCTTAATGGGCTTCATGAGAATGCAAAGACCTTCTCACCCTAAATTCTTAAAACCTACGTGCAAGTCATACCCTAAATTCTTAAAACTTACGTGCCAGAGGTCCGATGGTTTCTGGCAGTGCTAATGCCTGCAATTGTTCAGAGCTGACAGAGCTCTGCTAAAAGGATGTTTGAAGCTCATTGCAAATGTGAGGCCTTGTTTCTGTGGGTGATAAAGCAAGTGCATGACCAGATATAAATTCACCTTTTTTCTCCCCATTAGTGCTGGTCAGTGTGAACAGTGGCCACAGTGTGAACTGTGGCCAGGTCAGAATAACTTGTGACACAAATGATACAGGAGTGAGGCTGTGCTCTTTAGCAATGTGGTTGTCTCTTAGTCATATGCACAGCACGGGTGTAGTTGTGCAATGTTTCACCTTGGCAGCAAAAGCTAAGTGTTGGAAGGCCTAACAGAAAAATACCAATGATTCCCTGTAAAATCAACACCTAGATTTAAATTGCAAATAAACAGGATATGTCTTGCGAAATATTTGGCTTAACCATGTTTACATTGACTGACAGCAGTAGATATTGGTACGTTCTAGCAAGAGTATTTTAACATCTCTTTTTTTTATGCTTTTGCTCTTTGTGCAATTGTGTGTAACTACAGTCAGAGGCTGCAGCTCAAAGACTTCTTGAGCAAGTACAAACCTGTTCATTTGAGAAGTAGGACTGATTTCTACACTTGTTTTCTTATCTTCATTGCTGTACTGTCCCTTTCTCTGCCCTGGCACAGCCTTTTCCACAGCCATGCAGTGACCCACACCTGATAAACAATCTGGCTGAAAACAGCCAAGTTTTCTGGGTCTGGGCTTTTCTTTTTTTTTCCTTTTTTTTTTTTTTTGATTAGTTTTCAGACAGTTCTAGTTCCCCAGTTCAGTTCAGCCCACCACACAGCTACATAAATGTTTGTCCCAGCACAAGGAAAAAGGCAGTATGTGAGTAGAAACAACCAACTATGCAACTGCACATGGGATTTGATCTTCACTGTGAAATTGTGCTCCAAGACACAGCCTTCAGGAGCTCCCAGCTCCAGGCTTCCAAGGGAAATAATTGCAGCCACTGCAAAATCTAAATAAAGAGTTAAGAGCATAAATAAAGTGGGGGACAAAACTATTTCCAAGGACTAGATTCTAATTTGTTCTACACTTAAACTGATTAGCAGAGCCCTAATTTATTATGGACACTCTGGCATGCTGCAATATTGACATCCAAGCGATGAATAATACTTAAAATTTACCTAGAGAGAATTGGTGATAGACACTGTTCTTGCAAATCTGCAAGGAATTGTGCTGAGGACTTTCAGACCCTGCAATCTTTCCACCACGACTTACTGCTTTTCTGTCCTGCACACTCTTCTCTGTCCATTTCCTCTTGATTATTTTGTTTGTTTTCAGTATCCAGAATATTGAATCTGGCTTCAGTTATTTTACTAGGGAAAAGTACTGAATGTCTTAGCACATGTTCTATGTATGGAGAGACCACACATGTTAAATGAACACGAAAGGCTTTTAAACAGCTATGAAAAAGCTTCATTTTTCCARAATCCATTACTGTAATTAAATACAGTCATCAGTTAGTTCTTCCCCATGCAGAAAGGTCCTTTTCTCTCCCAGAAACAAGTTAGCTAAARTGAACAGCCTTATCTTCGTCAGTGATGCCAACATTTCACTAGTTTTATGATAGTTTCATCTATACAAGAAAACYACCATTATCAGCAGATACATCTGACCAGTGCAGAGCATGTTTTGCAAAGGCAGGCATGGTAAACATCACTTTAGAAACACAATTTTCCTACTCTTCAAACTGTTTTCTGTAAAGACTCAGGTGGGTATCTCATTTCTCTATCTTCCTTCTRTTTCTGGAGTGGGGAAGGCAACAGTTGCCAGTTCCAACCAGACATGAACTTCAGGGCAAGCACCCGCTGATGGACATTGCAGAGACAGGTTATGTTGCTCATGTGGTTAAGTTAACCTGGGTAGACAGGAGATTGCTGAAAACTCAAAGGMATAAAGAGAAATTTACCTCAGCACCCCTCCAAACTCTTGTCTTTTGTCCCTCTCCTCTTATATCTGCTGTGCATATCATTGAAAAGTCTCTAGATCTAAAATATCTTTTTTTTCTGGCACCTCTTTTTTTTTCCCCTGCAACTCCTTCCATTTTTGGAGTTCAGTGAATAGCACATTTCAAAGAATTACCAACCGCTAGCAACAGGTGGTCATTTTTATATCATAAAATTTAAGATTGAAGCACTGGCATCCCCTGGTGGCAGCCTTTTTTTTTTTTTTTTTTTTAATTTGGTAATAAAACATGAGCAGTCTAAGCCTCAGTCTAAAAGTTTTGCTTTTACTATTATAATTACACAAAATGTGTGTAAATGGCATAGAGAAAGGAAAATGTTTTAAAATAATTTCAAGTGATTTTGTCTTTTTGTTTTCATGGGTAGCTGAATTTAGGAAGACTTGTAAAGCAAGTGATTTCAGGAGATCCCAGTTATGAAGTAATGAGAATTATTTGAACAGAGATTTTCAAGGAACAGATTAAGTCAAATAGATTTACACTGCAAAAGTTCTTACACTGCTTCTGGATATTTTTTTCCTCCTACAGAAAACTTTACATTTTGCATTAGCAAGTAACTACCCTTCAATCTAACAACCCATGAAATTAATCATTTTTTTTTAATTTATAAGGCAGTTTCTGAAGTTCCAGGATGAAGTCTCTCTCTGTTAATTTTGACATTTCAGACACCATGCAGCCCTTCTCTATGCAGGGCTATGCAATAACTACCTCTCCAGTTCCATCCCCGGCTTCATGTACCYCTCAGAAGCAAATGTGTACGAATCCTGACACTTCTGACAGAGCAGTGTGAGCAGGAAGGTTGCAAAGGGAAAATTAACTCTTGTGGCCAGTGTTGGCACTTAGTCTCAAATCTCTTCAAATAAAAGAGTTGAGGGAGATCTGGTAACAATGTCCTACAGTTTTCATCACAGKGAAGGTTGTCTTTTGGTATCATGGGGCACGCTTGTGTGTTTCTGGTATTAATCTGTTCATGCTTACTCAGATTTAAGCTCTTTAGTGCAGGTTATGTTCTATAGACTTAGAGATCTAAATGAATGACTGGGGCTCCCTAGACAAATCTATGCAGGAAATAATGGTAACAGCTTTTCGAAAGGCATATGAAAAGTAAACAGAAAGATTAGAATATTGTATGGTTATATTACATGACCTATGATATCTTGACTAAGATACAGAATTTTTTTTAACAGTTATTGTTATCTCTTTTTTTACAATAAATCAACATTCTAGATGCACTAYGAGTCACCTTAAAACCCCTGTTTTAAGAAATGATACATTTTTTCATTAGAGCAGCAAAGGAAAAATGGATTGTAAAATCCTATCCACCTTAGAGATGTGACAAGCACAAGGTAATCTTACATCCATACTCTCCCATGGATATATGGACATGCTTTAGATGAACACATGAGCATATAAACTGTACACAAAATTTGGCATGCTCTTTTCCTTCCTCAKGGTGTACTTACGTCTATGCTGAAAAGTAATAATAAAGCACAAAACTGGTCTATTTCTACTTAATGTGAAGCAGACTAGAGATTTTCATTTAGGCTCAGGCTATGGTGCCATCTGGTGGCCAGCGGTTTGTAGTGTAGGTGCAGAGAAAAAATCAAAATTCCAACTCTTATGACATTTACCAAAAAAAAATGTACTGTGTGCAGTATGATTTATGTCTGTGTTTATGTGGATATGTAGTTTCCTTGCTGTTTCTCCTCCCTTTTAGATRCTTTTGGATAGTAAAGTAGAGCCAAGATTTTTTTTTTGAAATAACAGTGAATTAAAACCACTAGTAAATACYTCAGAAGTACAGAAATGGCACAAGAAGATGTCTGCACCATGACTGTGTGATACAATCTGGCACGTTCCTTTACTCAAATGGATTGACTTACCCATTATCCAATCCATTCTGCCCAATTTTCTTTCCTATGTCACCTACCATCACACCTGGCACTGGTAAAAGCGTTTTTGTATCTCGAATCTGCATAGAAATGGAACAGAAGAGAATTCCAGGTGTGAGACATTTCTTGGTTGGAGTTTTCACTTAGTGAAAGCACTTCCAATTCATAATCTGTTATTAACATTAAAGAAAGTTTCTCCTGTTTCTCCAAGCACATAATTCTGGTTACTTGTATTAATATACCTCTTTTAGGACATAAACCCCAAAATGAAAAAGACCTAGGTAACATGACAGGATTTACACAAGTCTGTTAAAGTATGTCTAAGCACCAATTATTTCCTTCATCAAATTAGCTTTAAACTCTTCCTCTAGTCTACACAGGCATAGTAGAAACAAATAAAACTTTTACACTTTTTTTCCCTGACTTTGTCATAAATCCTGTTCTATCAACAACCAGTTTGTTCAACTTCTCACAACTTTCCTAATCCATTGGTGTGTTTTCTAATGCCTTTGAGCTTAAAATGGATCTCTACGGCAGAAGCTTTGTTTCATGTAGATCATCTTGCAGGATGGACAAACATAATTCTCCTTAAGCCTCATCTAAAAATTTCATGACTTCATATAGATACGTTATATGCTGTGTGATAATATGGAGGCTGTTCAGCTCTTTTGCATTTTCCAGTTACACAAAACAGACATTATAAAACTGGCTATTAATTATGAAAAAAAAAAAACAACCAAACAAAAAAAAAGCACAGTGAACATTTAAAACTAAAATGCTTGTTGCAATTGCAGTACATATTGATGGTATTAACCAAAGAATCTGCTGGTCAGACATGAGTAACAGAATAACAGAAAACTTGAATTAGAACCCTGTTTCCCTCCCGCCAAAAAATGAGCAATATTCCTATCCAACCTGTACAATAAAGGAATGCAATCCATGACACTGTCCATCCGGAGTATAGAGCTGGGCATACACAACTGCATGAGTGGCATTTTTCCCCATATTACCAACCCAGAACTTTGCAGCTTCAAAATCTGGAGTGTTGATGATAAATTCCTGTAACCATAAAAAATAAATGAGAAGTTATATAAATCATAAAAAATGCATTAATTACATTAATTTTAACACATTTACTTTAATTATATTCATGAGCATGGTGATGTTTTGAAAATGGCCATTAATTGCCAGGGTCTCACTCTATACTTGAATTCAACAATATGACACCTGTCTTTCTATCTTGTGTTCCACCTTGGAGAGCTTGCATTTATTTAGAACAAATTTAAAGAATGAATTCTTCATAGCAAGGCTTAAAATTCAAATCTTACATCGGCTTATTTTGACAAAGCAAAGTGAGGGCCACAGCACCATTTCCTTGATCCCAGGTTAAGATATGCAAAGCAGGGCTCTAGGTCTAGGTCTTGGGCTGAAACCACTACAAGGACCATGCACTTCTTGGGCAGTTTTCTCTGGAAAGGAACCGCAGCTGAAAATGTGAAAGCCAGCACACTGCTTTCCCCAGTTTGCACAACTGGGGAACCATTGATAGTGGGCACGCTATGTATGTATGTATGGGAATGCATGTAGCCTAAAATTCAGACATAGCTTCAAAATTCAGATTTTTAGATTCCACGTAGTATATTCTTATGGACGTAAAAGAGATCTAAACTCATAGCTTCACAATCTCATCAAAGATACAGACACATCAATTTCTTTTACTGTAGTGCACTCTTCACCAGCATAAATCTTCATTTATTTTAATGGAACTTTGTGTGCTGCCAATCTTGTAAGGGCTTTTTCAGGACAGCGATGTGATTATCCATAGTGATTAAATGAACTTTTAATTACCTGTATGTCAGAAAAACACAATCTGGAATGTTGACCTACTGAAGGATATACAATATTTATGTTTAAAGTCTATGATTCACCATTTTCATTCTTTTGAATAATAAATGGTGTACAGCTTATTTGTGGCTAATAACAGCACGCACTTCTGTACCTCAGGCTGYCAAAAAGGCTGAAGTCCCTGGAGTAAAATGATAAGCATATCTTTGGGGGAAATCAAATAATGAGCTTTAAATTTAACTTTGATTACCCAAGAATACAGATGGTAAGTAGGGAGAGTAACTTCTATTAACCACTTCTACCTTGCTGGGTTTACTATAAATTGATATATGATAGACAGTCATTCCACTTGCCTGTGTGGTTTTTTTTTTCTGTCTGAAATGCATTGTGGATTCACTTCTTTTTAAGGTATTAATTAATTCATCAGTGAGTATTAAACTCACTGATTTGCATTAGTCACAAATAATAGCACAGAGCACTTTTTACTGTTTTGAAAACATTGAAAAGCTGTGTGGAAACGTTTAACTGCTGAAATTCCTATACTTACTCTTATGTTCTTTCTGCAGGAATCAATTTCTTTCACATAGAAATACATGAAAGGAAAAAAGACCAGTCTGAACTGACATGTGAAGGGGGATGTGCTTCTCTGTTTTGTTTTCCTGAACTAAGACTTTACAAATATACTCTTCTCTGCAATATATTGCTATATTTTTATTTGGAATTAAACTTCATTAATTCCTACTAGTCTAAGAACTTCATGAATCATTCTGCCTTGATAACAAATAATAGAGCTTAACAGTGTCAAACATTGTTCCTATGTTTTATGGACTAACCTGAGTGTTGCTGTCAAAAGTGGCAGTAGTTCGTATGCCTTTTGTATTAGTCCCATGGCTGAGTTCAGTAAGAGCAAAACATCCAAAAATCTAAATAAGGAGACATAAAGGCACAATTGAAGTCTGGTTTAATACAGCAGTTGAAAAGAGATTTTCAAACAATTGAAAATCCATCTGTTGGATAGTGCCTAGCAGTTTTAAGAAACCAATCAGACCTAAAACTAAGGTAAAGGCTGCAAACGCATAACCCTCAGGCTTCTACTTACAGTGAGGGTCATTAACAGAATTCATCCTAATTTTAATATGTGGTACCCAACTCAGGGCTACATATCAATATATTGCTGTCTATTTGCTGAGAAATAAGCATGGAATTTAGGAAAGAAAGTTAAAGGATGGTAAGAAGTTGACAACAAGATAAAAACTGATAAAGAGCAACAAAACAAGCATGAAGTGTAGGAAAATAGGAGTGTCCTCAGAACATACATCTATCTTACAATATCAAATAGGTTGAGGCCAAAGAGTGAACTCTGACCACATGGGCAATGGCACAGATAAGAGACACTACTCGGGACTGGCTCTTTCTAGATCAGATTGACTGTAGTTAACCAAGACTTTGTCCTTTGGCAGTAKGGCACTATCAAGTGGCTATAAGATCCACATAGTATTTCAGTCCATAGCATCAAAATAGTATTTTTATAGCACCATGCACAGCTTGCAAGTGTGTGATGAGGATTTGGGAGTATCCAAGAATGCAAAACCTATCAGCTKATTTTAGAGGACTATACAGACAAAAACAGGACAGTCTAATCTATACTGCCTTTTGGGAGAAGTCCTTGGAACGAACTTGGAATGAATATCCCCAAACTTTTTCTGGATATTGCATTGGACAGCTTAAAAGAACACCAGGAAGTGGTCTAACAATTATCAGGAAGGACAGTTAGAGCTCAGTACTTGAAGGTGCTCCTTGGTCTTCTCCTGTTTTACTATTTTTAAGTACCAMGGTATCTAAAGACATCAGAAATGACACAAGGGTGCAAGTACTGAGGAATTTTAACAGGATTCAATTCTCTTGAGTTATCAGAAAAAATTACCTCCATGCTATAAGCTTTTTTCACAAAGTCAGCAAACCTCCTAGAAGCACTCAAAATTGCACCTGAAAATACCTGCAAAAACAGAGRATTATGAGTGAAATCCATGACCACATGTTGGAAAGCACAGATTGAACAGTGAAYTACTACTTAAGACCATACCTTGAAGGCCTAAGTCAAGATTTCACCCTGTCATAGATTCTATACAGAGGTTTGAACGCTCTCGGAGTAAGAAAAATACTCAAAGAGACCAAAGACTAAATGGCCCATCAATACAGCACTTCCATGACATGATCAAATTTTTATAGTTCTGATCTGTTCAATCCTTCATTGAAAGCTCTTCAAAATTGCAAGTTTACTTCCCACTTGAACTAACAGACATTATTTGAGTAGAAAAAAAAAAGCTTTAAGAATATTTAGTTTGTTTCACTGTAAATGGACCAAGAACAGAAGAAAKCTGCTTGAAGAGCAGACAAGAGCAGCTATTACTTGATGTTAAGTATTTTTTTTGGAAGACTCAGCTGTGAGTAACTGAAAAATACCCATGTGTTRATGCAAAGTTTAAATGATATTTGGTGTTGTAATAAAGACAAAACMCCCACTGGAGTACATATAATCAAGTTATTTTGGCTACTACCTCCACAAAATGCAGAGGAGGGGAAAAAAGAAAGCAAAAAAGATACTACAGGGGTTAAAATATCTTTCTGTGGCTCTGTCCATCCTGCTTCTGTTTTCCTYGCCAGGAGTCATTCAAATGGAGACAGGACTTACATCCTGTCTGACAAAGATTGGCAGATGGCATCTCACAGCTTTCCAGCCTTTTTTAAAATAGTTATCTCWATTTGATTCTTAAAGAAACAGGCTGTGCTTTAATAAATTTAATAATTGCTTTAATAAAATAGGTAAAAAGCAACAGGATTATGGTATCATGAGATCTTTAAACAGACATCAGTATACATTTTTGAACTGTACTTACACTGCTATGCAAAAAATACTTGAGACACACAGACCAATCATACATCCCTAAGAAGTTAATCATATGCCAAATTCTTATAGGGTTGTCTCTGATCTCTTGTGGAGTAAGAAATTCATATTCAAAGATCCTTTTACAGCGCAGGAATGTCAGCTCCTGATATTTCTCACGGCTCAAATCTTCTCCAGGATGATGTGCAAACAAAGGATCATTTTCTAAAGCAGAGAAGATTCTATTCTTCAGGGAGAAAAAAAAAAGACATAAGAAAGTTCATCCAACGACATTAACAAAACAAGTTAAAAGGCTTCTGGTACAATGCTAGGCCTCAAACTACAATAGTTTGATAGAAGAGGTAGCTTTATAGACAAAACCAAAACTCGTCAGAATTTGAACATACATTAACCAATTCATCACTAAATATTATAATTCACACAGCTCGGTTTTACAAAAGCTTCTTAGTCAKGAAGTAGTGTATGACTGATGCATTTTGCATATAAGACAGCAGTATGATATAACTTACTTTTCGCAGTTGTCTCATTATTTCACTGTGAAACAGTTGGTAGGATTCTGAAGAGAAATGGCCCTCAATTTGAGAACAAAAATAAATCTCCAGGGATTACATTCAGTTAGAAATATGCTATAATGCTAACGGCATTAAGCTACCATGACTGCTCTGCTTCCAGTCAAAATTAGAAACATTAGAAACAGTTAACACAACTGCTGCATGTGGATGTTCAATTAGTGGATGTTCATCTTTTAACTTYCTACTTTCGATTTTTTCCTTAGAACATATGCTAGGTTTTCTTCCATCAAGTCTCTGTGTCTTGGAGATATCCATACCTCCTTCATTGTTTGTCATGTAATTGTCATGTAAAGGAAAATGTAGCATATTAGGCAAAATTTTTCAAAAGATTTTACAAGTCCTCTTCTCCTCTCGGAAGAAAATGTCACAATACGAGAGAAGGAAAATACGAGACTATTTGTTTTCTTCTTTTTTTTGAAAGTTAAATTCACTTCATACATCCGTATGTACAGTAATATCTGCCCATTCAAACACAAGGCAGTTTCATTTTCCTATGTCTTTTAAATATATCTGCCAGGCACTTTTGATTTCTCTAATCCACCTTTTATGATTTTCATAGCTACAGTAAAGCTTCATGATTGGCTTAAACGCATGCAAGTCTATACCACCACCAAAAAGGGCAGTTCTACCTCCTCCTGCCTCCTCCAGGTTATACATTCCCACAGATGCTCTTCTACTCAAATTTCTCCTTTTCTTTTATTGGAGGGTTAGCTGTCACTGGGCAAGCAAACCTGCGCACTAAAGCACTAGCTGCCAGCACAGATGACAGCTGAACTTACGACAGGTCAAAGAAGGACAGAAATACTGCTTTTGGCAGAGGAATGAGCTTAGTGATCAGCTTAAGTGAGTTGTAGTAGTATGATTTAATGCCAGCCCTGAAGAAATACAGTACAATATTGTTCTTTCTATAGAACTATACCTTTTAATGAAGTTCTGTAATGCAGCACATGTAGTTTTCCCCTACTTATGATAAGCAATGAAATAAGCTTCACTAGCTTATATTGCCTACTAAGCAAAGTAGGTTGCTTAAAAATAATTTCTTCATGCACCATATCTGCAGAGTAATATTAAATACCCTTCCTGTGAATCCCGCACACTCATTTCTATGCAAAATTGTATAATTCTATTTACATAGTTCTATGCAAAATTAAAATAGGCTTACAACTTTTGGAATGCCTACCTTGAGCTGGATGATATCTTCCCCATCTAAAAATACTGCCATTTCCTTCCAGTTGAAGGACGCTTTCTTACGGTATCTGCAAAGTGGTCCTTTAGGGAAATCTGGGAGCAAAGCATCCCACGAACTTTGGCTGCCAGTTGCTTCTTTCAAATCCATAGGGGATGCCATCCTTGGGTTGACCAGTGCTGCACCCAACAGAAACAAACCTATCATCAACTAAAGCACTGCAGAGGACTATTTTTTCACATAGTTTTACAAGAGAATAATAAAAAAGAATTTAAGAGGGCTGTTAAGTAAATCCATACAAGCTTGTTCAAATGTATGAGTTCAGTAGTACAGAATCAACTGAAAATTTGACTTCACATTTTTGTAATTTAATTAGATTGGTAAAAGCTAGGACAGAAATGTCTTTGATCAAAAAAATGAAAGATATAGCCTTATTAAAATGTGATCTAACACTTTTTAAATAAGCAAAATAAGAAATGGGTGTCATCAATAAATATTTCATATAAAGAAAAGGGAGGTAAGATAAAAGACCAGGGTAAGAAAGTAACAACCTAGATAAATAATTAATTCACCTCATTTCTACCTGAAATAGAGAACTATAAAATACCAAAGTACCCAAACATGCATACAAAAAAAAAAAAAATCAAAAAAAAGCAATGTAATGTTGAAGCAAAAAAAAAAAAAAAAAATCAAAAAAAAGCAATGTAATGTTGAAGATACCTGCAATACCTCCACACTACTAGTAAAGATTTAAAGGATTTTTAACTAAATGACAGGTTGCTTGTAGGTGAAGGTTTGTTTTTTTTCTAAATACCCAAAGTGCTATGAATAAATAACCCAAGGCAGAAGACTTTAGAGGGACAGCAAGAGCTTGGACCTTATTTCCRCTGGCTGAATATATGAATAAGTTACTAGGTAATATACATACTTGTACATCCCATTGGAAAAAGCAAACTGTTGTATGATTTTGTATATTCCCATCAATTTTGCCTGAACGAGAAAGGCTAAGTCATTACGCAGGCTGGCTTTCTAATCTGCTCTCACACATCCACAAAGCCCTCTCCATTGATGCTGGTGTTTTGTTTTGTTTTCCAAACCAGGTTACACGATGTAATTTGCCACATAAACTGAAGTTGTCATGACTTGAGAAAACTACAGCACTRTGCAAGTACAAAAACTGCACCTCCTGCTAAGTCTGCTCCCCCAAAATATGGCAATACTCTACAAAAACAAAATTATGCCTTTGCAAGTTTTAATTGTCTTTGTCAATTATTTTCATGAACAGCTGAAACACTAAATCATGCATTTTAATGTTTTTACATAGGAAAGTTAGAAAAACGTATTTCTTCTCCTCTTTAATCCACCTATTTCCTTATTGGAAATTCAAACAGAATAGTCTCAAGATAATGAAACTTCTCTGATATATTTTTMAGAGGTCTGTAAAATAATTTCTAGACAGAAGACATGACAATACTGCATATAATTGGGAAATTTTGGATCAGTGTGGGAATGGTACATTTGATTTTTTTCATGTGATAGGCTACTATATTTTATTTAAAATGATAATTCATCATTTAATTTATAAAAATTTCTTGCATMAATCCCCTTCTCCGAGACATGTAACTTTTAGTGCATTTATTATTATTTTCTCAGGAAAACTTACTGTTTTGCAGCGGGAACTCTTCCTTAATTCTGCAAAAGACAGTGGACAAMTTCTGTGCACTATCTCTGTGTATCAAGTTTAAATCAATATTCCWATCCCAGACTTTCTGTAATGATTAACCCTTCTGATTACTGAAATGGGAAAACTCTCCAACAAGGAAGATACTTCTGTGTGGCATTCAAARGGCAGCTGTGACAGAACCTTGCTACTGTAGCTATCAATACAATAATTGTGAAATTCTGCATAGATCTGCAGAAATGTGTCTACTCACATACACTGCTAGTTATTAATTCTCCACAGAAGCTATATAAAAAGTGCTAATCAAGTAAATAAATGCTCTTTTTCAGAAGAGAGGATGTATTTACATCCTAGAAGCACTGATATAGCATTTGGTGCATGAAGAAAACAGTGYAGCAAAAGGGCAGTCTTCAATATTTTGCTGCTTCTTGTAGCATCATCCTGCCCCTTGTCCATTAGTTAGTKCCACTTTGCCCATGTTGCAACCTGTCTGCTGCACTTCAACCACTGGAGAGGAAGAAGAGCTGCAAAAACCTAGGAGTTGGGGTTGGACTAGATGACCTCTGAGGTTCCTTCCAACCTTAAGCATTCTATGAAACCTTTGTTCTCCAATAGTAGCTTCTTCTGCACTCCAGGAGCAGATCCTAGAGTAACTTCTCATAATTTTACTGAATAAAATGAAGCTTTAAATACTGAAGTGAATATGGCCATGGAAACATTCATTAGATAAGGATATATTTTGTGGACTGACATCAGCCATAAGACCAGACATTAACGGTTCCTTATGTGAACAGAATAGATGCATTATGAGATTATGCTATAAGGAATGTTTGRCTTGAAAACAGCCCAGACAATTATTTGGGGTAATGGGAAATCAGGAGCAGGAAAGATGGGGACACGAATGGGTTACTGTGAGTGATGATACAGCTGGATATTGTGAATAGAGTAGTGAAAATGTAAAGCAAACACCTTCATGGGCCAGCACGGAGTAAGCTGAGGTGTTGATTTAAGCACCTAATTTAAAGCAATTAGTCTTGTCCAGAACTAGGCTTGGCTCACATAAATCCACATGCATATGTAAGCTCCGTGCCACCCTGGTATATCAAACCAGACCATTAGTAGAAAGAGATGACCTTGCATATGGTAAATATTATCATCTCCATCCCCGTCCCGCTCCCTGTCCCATTGCTGGGATATGGTGAGTGTTTTGAATTGTGAATGGGTGAATGGGACAAGCAGGAAGCCTCGTCYGCAGCACAGCTGTTAGAAGTACAGATTAAATCTGCACAGATTAATCAAATAAACATGCTGCAGTTCTGGCTTCAAGAATCAAAAAAAAACTGGACAAGATGCAGTTCTGGAAATGTGTGTGCACCTGAGCAGGAGCTTCTCTCAAGATGTTCAAGTCATGTTCTCCCATGACTCAAGGCTGGATTAAAGGCTTTATTGTATTAAATCAATACAAAATACTATCTTTATATTTAGCAGTTTTGACCACACTTAACATTCCTTTTTCCTTTTTATTTTTTTCCTCAAAGTGTTCTTTTAAAGTGTAGTAGAAGGCATCTAACTTTTTTTTAGTCTATCCTGCTGCTAAGTATTTTTTCTAACCTCCCTTATTTCTTTATCATTTCTTTATTTCTGTGTAGTTGGCCTCAGGCTCTGATGTATGTGATCAAGAGCAGCAGGGCCCCATTAAGTGTGATGACATTTTATTGCATTTTTTGGGGGTCATGCCRTGCTGTTGCATGTGACTTCCCAAGCTGCCTGGAAAGGGGACAAAAGCCAACAGTAGAAAGCACCGTTCAGCCTGGACAAGCCCACGATGCTCCTGAACAGCCTGCCAGCAGGTGAATTAGACAARAGTTCAAGGCCTTTGACTCAGAACAGCAATATTTTACAGGAAAACAGCTATTCAAACACGCACTTCACTTTACTTCCCTTGCAAATTAATGGGACTGCACAAAAGTGAAAACTTAAGTGGTCATAAAAGGGGCTCTCACGCTTTAATTCCCTCCTTGTCTTCCCAGTGTTTAATTTACTTCAGTCCCAGGCAAACACCTTCYGAATTAATCCAGAAATCACAATTAYAATAGGAAACAAATAGTCAAAGGGCTGCCCTAGGGAATAACCTTAGTGCATCCTGCAGACCCGGGATCCACTTCTTGCCTGTTTTGCAAGACCTGGCTTTTTAAAATCTGCCTCTCAATGTGGCTGTAAAGAATATTTTTTTCCATCTCACAGGGAACTGCTGGGAAGGAACTGCTCAAATAACTCAGGTCTAGCTACACGGCCCCACATGATTCAGTTTATGACGCTACCGCGTCCGTCCTTGGACTCCCTGGGAAATACTCCGATGGTGACAACCCACTGGGAAGCGAAATTAAAAAATAACGATGGGAGCAGCACCCTGGAAGCCATGGCCCGGCAAGGACAGACCTAGTAGCATGAGGGAATGGGAAATGCAAGCGAGTCATTTATTAATACAGTTGGGTTCCGCTTTGGAAGCCCGGAATTTGAGATGCGGGCTCGCGTGGATTAGCAGGAATMAAGCGCACGGCCGGACTGGGCGCGCAACGCGGCAACGCAGCACTGGGGGCTCCAGCACGCGCCTTTACCCGGAGAACCGCCGCAGGAAAACGCCTCTCCTGGAGCCGGGGGAGCCCAACAGCGCGGCGGCCGCTGCCAGCGACGTCACAGGAAGCGCCCGTTTKGGGCCAGTTTCCAGAAAAACGCGTTTTCTTCCCCCGCGAGGTGTTTCCGCGGCCGTTCCCGCCGCGCGGACACCAAAGGGCCCC